CAACAACTAGGCACAAAACTGACAGAGTACTGAGACATTCGACGTCCTGACACCTAGCTTCAACACATCTCCGTAGCGCTAACAGACAGCCTTCCAACTTGGAAGGTTCAAGGTTATGGAAAGACCAAAGAGGGGAAGGCAAGCGCAACGAAAACGAGCACAAGCTACAGTCCCAACGGAACAAAGAATGTCGATTGTCACTGGACGATGACGAGACCAGTAGGCGATTTGACAAAGCGGTCTAACTACAATTCGAAGCAGCAAATCAGCACACCACCCAACTTGGGTGGGTCAAAAATATCAAAGATAAGTTAAGAAGGGGGAAGCTTTGCGAGAACGAATTGTACAAGCCGAAATCTAAACTCCTACAGTACTCCTCCTGCATGACATTGTGATGGACTAGTTGACTACAAAACAAGTTGTTTCACACGACGTACGTTTGGTCTTTCCATAACCTTGAACCTTCCAAGTTGGAAGGCTGTCGGTTAGCGCTACGGAGATGTGTTGAAGCTAGGTGTCAGGACGTCGAATGTCTCAGTACTCTGTCAGTTTTGTGCCTAGTTGTTGCACTTTCTGACTGTATATAGTATCTAGTTACAGTGGTGAAGAGTTACTCTTAACTCGTTTCCATATGTCCTTTTCCTTTCTAATAATAATAATAATAATTGAACAAACGGCGAGGAGACAACAATTTGATAACCGCAATCAGTAATACAAGCTGGATCGACATTTGTGTACACTGTATTCATGTATTGTAAAACTGTGGAGACAATGTGCAATAAAACGATGAAAAATGTGAAGAAATTGTGTAGAGAAAGAAAGGGATTCAAACAAGTTTTCGTACAACACTCATCAGGAATCGTCGTTGTACTAAAGGACACTGAAACAAAAATTGAACTATTATAAAAAATCTAAGTTAGAGAAATAACACTAAGAGCAACAACAGTGAAATTTACAAGTGTGAATTTTAACAATCAAAGCGAGAAATGAACAAAGGAGAAAGGAAGGAAAGACAACGTGATAACACATAACAGCAGTACATTAAACCTAGAACATTAACGGCCAAGCTTGGCCGCACTAAACACGACACGTTACTTGAACAATTTCAACCCAATTATACTATCTTTCTGTACACACAAATTAGGCTTGTACAGACGCTGATAGATAGCTTCCAACACTTTTAACTGTAGTCCATAACCATGACGACCACTGCCTGGAAAAACTCACTGTGAACTCGAAGAAATATTCCGCGCGAAAGCAGGAAAAATGACAACTCACTCACGTTGACACAGTCATGTACGTCTGGTTTACAACAAACGAGTTCTTCCTCGTATCGATAATGGAGTCAGAGAGGACATGTCGAAACGAAAGTGTTGTAAATGTTGACGAGCGGCATGGGTCCGTTTTGTGACCAAAATAGTTTCTTTGAGCTGCGATGCAATTTACTCACCGTGTGACGAAAATGACATCGACACGGACACATTCCCAAGGCCATGACTTGGCAAAGCTATCCGTGTGACTTCAACGACATTTTGAGAAAAGCAGACGCTTGTGAACGCTGATAGAAGACGGCGTTGACTGCTAAATTCAAATAAATTGGTGATCTTGAAATACTAAAATAAATCTCAAGAAGCTACAGCGCGATGACTTCCATTATAATTCACTCACACCATTGCAGTGTTGTGGGTGTGTTCACATGGCGTGAGCCAGTCAATTGTCAGTCAGTTCGGCAGGAAGCGCGAGCTCCAACAAGTCGTTTGGTGCAGCCATCTTCTTTGTCTTGTACCAGCTTGATCACCAAAACAATGAAAAAAAAGTTTGACTTGAGGATGGGTTGGGATTTGAACTCACGACTTCATGGTCAGCAGACAGCATTCATAACCACAAGGCCAAAAAGGAAAGGATAAATCGTGGGTTTTGATAAAAAATTGATACTGGCTTCCTGGGCAAATTGTAAACCATGGGAAAAGGCCGGAAACCTGGCCGAAATTCTAACTCCTTAACGGTTGGTCCAATTGTTCCGAAACCGTCACAGAACAATTTGCCGTGTCCTAACAAGCCATTCTATGTACTTTGTTGTCCAAATTTCCCTTATCTTCATACTTTTTAAGACCCAAACTTGATTGTAAATCTTTTTGAAACAGACTATTTAGAAAAGCGATCCTGTCAGCTTTTCTATTATTGTGTTCACATGGCAGAAAAAACGACACCGCTATGCTACGTAAGTTTCTACGTAAGGTGCTCGGTACTTCACTTAGGATACGTAAGTTTCTACGTAAGGTGCTCGGTACTTCACTTAGGATACGTAAGTTTCTACGTAAGGTGCTCGGTATTATATTAGATCTACCAACGGGTGGTAGCCGCGTGCTGTGCACGTGCACGGCAGACATTGTGTTGCATGCAGTGCAGTCCGTTTTCGGATGTGCATGCGCCAGGAACTTCCTTCTTTGGAACTGCTTCTTGCATGAGCTGTTTCGGATATTTCGTGTCCTGGCTTATTTCGCTTCGGCTCTGCTGAGACCTCTTTTCACGGAATATTACTCAATGACAGGTGAGTTGACCAGTTCCCTTTGATTCATTTGCTTGTGTTGACTCTTTCATTTACGAAAAGTGTGCTGATTTTAGGTGGAATACAATAAATACCGGTAATGGAAAAGCTGACAGGATCTTTTTTCTAAATTTAGCTTTTCTGCTGTCGAGGCCTCCTTTTACGGAATACTCAATGAAAGGTGATCTCTGAGTTGACCAGTTTCCTTCGATTCATTTGCTTATGCTCACCCATTCATTTACGGAAACGTGTACTGATTTTATTCGGATTTAATAGACCCATTCGTATCTCTTTGCCCTTGCCAACAGTGTGCGAAGAACGCGAGTTCACCTTCTTGACGGTAAGGCTTAGATGTGTTGTCGAAATACTAATGTTCATTGTACATTGGTACGTTACAAGTAAGGCACTGGTCATGATTGCTTCCGGCATTCCGTGCTCCGATCATAGGGTAGAATCTGAATTTTGCAGTGGCATAGCATCGTTGGCAGTTCCCAATCTGGAGGGGAGGGTTCAAGGACGCATTGGCCGAGTACTACATTGTAGTATGCAAAATAAATTCGCATATCAGGGAAAATCTCCATTATGGAGAGGTTCATGCATTCAGTGACTTGTTTGCTTCATACGAAACAAGCCAATGGGTGCAGTGTCGTGAAAATCTCGTACGATTGGATTGGTTTACTCGAGTCTGGGCTGTTTGATTTGTGAGTAGCGCCGAGATTGCACTGCCCCAAATAAAGTTGCGTGCCGGTAGAGCAAGAATTACGATCTGCAATCTGTTTGTTGTACCTGCAAGAATGTGCTGTACATGTATCGTATTTTCTCTGTTGTTGTTTCAGTTGCCGTCATGTTGCTAAAGAAAGGTTCAGTGACTCATTTGTTTCATAAAAGACGAGTCAATGGTTTGGTCTGGCTTAGAATCTTTCGCTGTAGAAGAAATCTATTCGTGTCTCTATTGCAGTATTGGAGAAATAATTGTATTCACTCGTTATAAAATAGGGCTAAGACAAACTCACAGAGCATATGCCATCGGTCCCTTGATGTTCGTCCTAAAGAGGTTTGACTGGATATCATTCATACTCCCGCAAAGTCGTGTAACATGTTATTATTATGGAGTGCCTTGTTTGTCTCTCAGTACCTCCAACCATTATATCCTTTCCCCTTATATCCTCAGGATCAGTGTAGTTGTTGGAACGAGGTATCGGACTCAGCAATGTATTTGTTTACATTTTAATACATGTTTATTGTTCCTACTTTGCTGTGTTGTTTTAGACAATCGTGGACTTGTAACACTTTGAAGTTATTGAACTACTTCCAAAAGTTTTATCGACATCAACATGATTACGATTTCACTACAATAATGATGCCGGATGACCTTATCACGACAACCCATGACTACAATTATACACACAGAATCAACAAAAACATCTGCGGCACGCACCTGGTTACAATTCTTATGTAAATGTGATTTAGGGTGTGGACATCTGAATTTTCTGAAAGACAAGACAATTTTATGACAGAGTCATGAAATTCTGCAACATCCACAGAATGACCTGCGTATAAAAAAAGTATCACCGCCACTACCCATATGATCCCCCTGCAGAAGAACATGAATACATTTTTTTTTTTTTTTTTTAAACGTGGTTCCAAGCCTCTTGTACAGGCAAAATATACACAAGTGCAAGGTCAACAGCTTAGTACCGAGAGAAAATGAGCTGAAATGGCTGTGAAAACCAGGGAGTAGTACAATACCGGGAGGTGACACGGCCACACATTCAGGCGGGCGAGCTTTGCCTCAGGTCACTTTTCTGTGGAGCGCTGTGTCCCGGGAAACGTCACGAAATATCGTACTTCGCGCGCTGTGTCCCGGGAAACGTCACGAAATATCGTACTTCGCGCACCATTTATCGTGCGCTGCTGCTTGGCTTTCTCTCTTGCTAGGTCTGCGATCCGGTGCGTTCGAGGATCACGCTCCGTTCGCCGCCGTCACATCAACCTTGTGCCTGTCGACCTCGTCCAGGCTGAGGCTCGCCTTGCTACGCATTAGACTGTCTTCACAGCCATTTTAGCTTCCTCCTTATCATTGTAGCTTCCTCCGTATAAGACTGTTTTCACAGCCATTTCAGCTCATTTTCTCTCGGTACTAAGCTGTTGACCTTGCACTTGTGTTTATTTTGCCCGTACAAGAGGCTTGGAACCACGAAAAAAAAAAAAAAAAATTTATCGTAGCATTTCGTAGCATTTTTCAAAAAAATTCATAGAACGTTGTACTTGAAGAGAGTGGCAGAATGCTGTCAAGAAGTTTTCAAGCAGTACTTTTTGAAGTTTGTTTTGACGATGTAGGGAACGAATCCATCAGTCTTTGCTGAGTGATGAGGATGAATCCTACGAAGGATATCAAGTAGCAGCTGGCCTTCGCACGGGTACCTTCAGTGTGTCCAGTATTTACGTGGGCGGCTTGTAAGAGTGAAATTTTCTTCCTAATTTAATTTGTATTACATTTAGTTATTCACGTCGTTTCTAGGGGAATAGATAATGTTGACTCAAGTTTTAGTCACAATGAACAACATGTTTCAGGTATGGCTGACCCGTCTCAAGATAGTAAGGCTATTCCGAATCCAGATGCTATAGTCGTCAGAGAGAAACACAAAATAAAATAAATTTTATACTGCAGGGGCAGCTATTCGCAAATGTCACTATGACGCAAGTCTGTGTCAAGGGTGTGAACGTGATAGTATCGTTCTTCTCTGCTGTTGAGAAATCATTTCCAGCTTGCGGCTGTCCATGTTCTTTATGTGACGATGGACAAGAGGCTGTATGAATCAGAACAAACATAAAACCACACAGGCTTCATCGATATGTCTGTGTTGTGCTTTTGTTTTGCTGCAGGTTTTATCAAACAAGTCAGATGCGATCTGCGGATAAGATATTTCATTTACGTACACTGTGCAGATTTATAAGCCTAGTTGGTGTGCATGAAGAGCATTGAAATTGTTCTGGTGTGTGCGTGTTTGGCCGTTGCTTTTTTGGGCGTACTTTTATGTAATTGGATCTGTTTTTCCTCCATCAGCTTATTGTCATATAAGCATATAAAGCATGGGCTTACTTGGCTATTATTGAATGACTGTACTCTGCTGTCTGACTTACGGGTAGCACTTGTTGGTGAAGAGATTGTCATACACGATGCGCTGTTATTCGCAGCAGGCAGTGACTTCTGATGACGTGTTCTGTGCAGTAGATGGCCTACCAAAAAGAGATAAGCCATGTTATATCCGACGTCCACCTTACACATATGGTAGAACTGTGCAACTAACCTTGTCAGATGAGAGTATTTATCATCGTCTATACAAGGATGATCTTCGTCAATGGGGTGCGCTGTAGAACACGCATGAAAACAAATACAACCCCAAAACGTAGTTTCAGTATTGCTTCAGTGTCATATTTATAATCAACAATGTTGTATTGCAGAATTATACCCTTCTCATGATTGCTATTGCTCAACACGCTAGGACTGCATAAGTACACACCAACATCCCCAAAACAAAATGCATTGAAACCACTTGAAACCACTTGAAACCACTCCTGCTATATAATTTGTTTACTTTTTGGGTGAGGAGCAATTGGCGTTGGGCAGGCAGACTTCGCAGCCGCACCCAAGTCGTCGCTCTTCCTCTTCTGTCCACGGGTTCTGGGGGTTAAAAAAGCAACAAAGCAAGCAGGCCTGGCCTCATTCAGTGCTGAAAACAAGTGATCTTGAACATTATGTTCAAGTCTATACAAATTAATAAGTTTCAAAATTTTCAGAATGAGTTTTACAAAGAGTTACATAAGCTAACACGTTGAGATGAAGTAGAATGGTAGACAAATAGGTATACTTTCGAAATATCCCAACTTGGTGAGGTGTCCGAGTGGGTCCAAATGAGAAATTCAGGTTCGTGTTACACCATGTCAAGATGAGAAAATTCCATCACGTTACTTACCTAGGATAGCGTCCTCCATATTCGTCACTTCCATCCATTTTGGGAAGTCGAGACTTGGCAGCAGTGTGGACGATGTACCAGAGTAGCTCCCAAAAAAGGCTCGAGCTGAAAAGAACAAGTGGCAGCTTGTCACGAAGGGATACGTCTGGTCTTCTCGTCACTATTTGAAGGTTTCTCAGCGCTGTCAAAAGAGCAAAAATTTGAATTTTCGCGCGGTTTGTATTTTTTTTGTGAGGCAAAGCTCGTAATCCCGGATGTGTGGCCGTGTCACCTCCCGGTATTGTACTACTCCCTGGTGAAAACAGTCTTATACGGAGGAAGCTACAATGGCTGTGAAAACAGTCCAATAAGGAGGAAGCTAAAATGGCTGTGAAGACAGTCTAATGCGTAGCAAGGCGAGCCTCAGCCTGGACGAGGTCGACAGGCACAAGGTTGATGTGACGGCGGTGAACGGAGCGTGATCCTCGAGAGAACATGAATACATGTATGCAAGAGTAGATGTTTATCTACTCTTGTTTATCTACTCTTGATGTATGCAAGACTAGTTCCATTTTCTGCAAGAAAAGGCTTGCACATCAATGCGTATAATACGGTATTGAATTTGATAATGATACACGTACGAGTACATTTAGAAAAGCGATCCTGTCAGCTTTTCTATTATTGTGTTCACATGGCAGAAAAAACGACATCGCTATGCTACGTAAGTTTCTACGTATAAAGGTGCTTTTTTTTTTTCTGAGTAAAATCAGTGAGCATGTCATGAAAATAAATCCGAGAAGAAAGAAAAAGGCCCAACCCTGCCCTGCCAGTTATTTGGACTTATAGGGGTCGCCATGGCAAATAATAAACATAAAACTGCACACGTTCGGGCTCTCCGCCTTCTCCGTGAAATTATAATACCGTAAAAGAAAACTAGAGGGGAAAAAAGAAGCAACAATGAGGAATAGGAACTGATTTAGGAACCACTTGCAGTCAGTTACACAGGGCAGCGGGCCTCGGCAACGGCCAAGGTAGCAGATGCATCCGCCACATCGCTGACGCGCATGGGGCGTCGCCGAGCACCACGCAAACAAACCATGCTGGAGCGAACCAGAGCAAAGCCAAGTCGGCAGCGAATCCACGCCATACGTAAGGTGCTCGGTATTTCACTTAGGCTACGTAAGTCTCTACGTAAGGTGCTCGGTATTAGATCTACCAACGCGTGGTAGCAGACATTTTCAGTGCATGCAGTCCGCGGATCCGTGTTCGGATGTGCATGCGCGAGGAACTTTACTTCCTTCTTTGGAACTGCTTCTTGCATGAACTGTTTCGGATATTTCGTCTCCTGGCCTGGCTTATTTCGTTTCGGCGCTGCTGAGACCTCCTTTCGCGGAATATTACTCAATGACAGGTGAGTTGACCAGTTGCCTTTGATTCTGCTTGTGTTGACTCTTTCATTCAGGAAAAGTGTGCTGATTTTAGGGCGGAAATTAATAATGGAAAAGTTGACAGGATCTCTTTTCTAAATTTTGCTCTTCTGCTGCCGAGCTGCGAGGCCGCCTTTTACGGAATACTCGATGACAGGTGATCTCTAAGTTGACCGGTTTCCTTCGATTCATTTGCTTATGTTCACCTTTTATTTACGGAAACGTGTGCTGATTTTATTCGGATTTAGATCCATTTTATCTCTTTGCCCTTGTCTACAGTGTGCGAAGAACGCGAGTTCAACTTCTTGACGGTAAGGCTTATGTTAGATATGTTGTCGAAATACTCATATTCATTGTACATTGGTACGTTACAAGTAAGGCACTGGTCAGTGGCATACTATCGTTGGCAGTTCCCAATCTGGAGGGAAAGGTTCAAGTACCAATTGACCGAGTTTGCAAAATAAATTCGCATATCAGGGGAAATCTCTATTGTGGAGAGGTTCAGTAACTTGTTTGTTTCATACGAAACAAGCCAATGGGTGCAGTCTCGTGAAAATCTCGAACTTGTATGATTGGATTTGTTTACTCAAGTCTGGGCTGTTTGATTTGTGAGTACCGCCGAGATTGCACTGCCCCAAATAAAGTTTCGTGCCGCCAAAGCAAGAATTGCGATCTGCAATCTGTTTGTAGTACCTGTAAGAATGTGGAGTACATGTATCGTACTTTCTCTGTTGCTGTTTCAGTTGCCGTCATGTTGCTAAAGAAAGGTTCAGTAGAGAGGTTCTGCAAAACGAAAATTCGAACGAAGTTTCGCGACAGTCCTTGCGAAAGTGTGTGCGAATTTTTGCACGAACTTTGCGTTCTGCACATTTTCGTAGTTTGCGCGGGCCAAGTGCATGTACGCCATGACCCGATCTCACGAAATTTCCTACGACAGTTCATTTCGCGTTCCCTGCAAGTTTCGCACTTCATGATGTAGAGCGAAAGTTTGTACGCATTTCGTTTTGCAGAATCTCTCTAGTGACTCAATTGTTTCATACGAGACGAGTCAATGAGTCGGTGTGGCTAAGAATCTTTCGCTGTAGAAGAAATCTATTCGTATGTCTATTGGAGATATATTTGTGTTCTCTGGTTATAAAATAGGTTAAGCTCACAGAATAAATACCATCGTTCCCTTGGTGTTCGTCCTAAAGAGGTCCTAAAGAGGACTAGATATCATTCATACTCACCAAAAGATGTGTAAGACTTTATTATTGTGGAGTGCCTTGTTTATCTCTCAGTACCTCCAACCATAGCCTTGCCCCTTTTCTCCTCAGGATCAGTGTAGTTGTTGGAACGAGGTTTTGGACTCAGCAATGTATTCGTTTACATTTTAATACATGTTTATTGTTCCTCCTTTGCTGTGTTTTTTTTTTTTTTTTTTTTTTTTTTTTTTTTACTATGTTCACACTCCCAGCTCGAAAATAATAAAGAAAGACAATGATACTGAGACTAGGACGAACGTGACAACTATTGAGCAGGGGCTGCACCGAGACGCAGCAGTGATGGTGGGGCATTGATGGCTCTGCCGACCTGAGGTCTCGGCATCACGGCCAAAAACACGCACCAAAAACAAAAGATAGAGCTGTACGAGTCAGCAAAATGAGAAGAAAGGAAGGGTTAACATCAGCGAGTGTGCGGGAGAAACTGTGAGACTATTAACAAATTACAAGGGCTGTTACTGAGAGGAGCATCATCATGGCTGATCATGGCGAGTCGGTTGTCTGAGCCAGTTGTGGTGCATAGATAGGGATAGAGGAGAACGACGAGAGCATCATCATAGCGAGTCGACTGCCCAGAGCCAGTTTGTGCTTCGCAGATGGCGATAAACATTAGTTTTGAATGCTTGCATTCCCTTGCTGTGGGGAGGCTGGGACAGAAGAGCGGCGGGGAGGGAGTTCCAGTCACTAATACTGCAGTGTGGGAACGAGCGCTTTAATGCCAGCGGGACAGATGCAAGCAGCTGGTGTTGGAGCTGGTGGTCATGGCCAATGACGCTACCATGCTCGCTGCGAGTTCTGGGGCTGGATGAGGGGAAATGGCGCGGTGGCAAAACAGAGAGCAGCTGCGGAGGGCCAGGCAGGTAATGCAGCTTGTATAGGCAGGCAAGCGAGGCAACAGTACGACGGATGGCCAGGCTAGGTAATAGTGCACCTGGACCGATGATTCGCAGAGCACAGCGTTGGATATGATCCAGGCGTTGCAGGTAGCTGGGCGGAGCACCTATCCAGATGAGGGGGGCATACTCCATAACTGGTCGAACAAATGCCTTGTATACCGTGGTGCGGCCGGCTGGAGAGAGAATGTGCGCTGCACGGCGCAGGAAGCCTAGGCGTTGTTTGGCTCGAGTGGCAACCTTCCGGAGATGAGTGCTGAATGACAGCTTCGAGTCAAAGGTCACTCCAAGTAAAGAGAGAGCCTTCTCCTCAAGGACAGGAGTGCCGCCGAAGACAATGCGAGGCAAATTGATGGGGGTTCTGCGGAGAGTGGCGGTCATGGCTTGGGACTTCGACGGTTCGAAGGAGATGCGCCATCTGCGGCCCCACTGATGCAAGCGATCAACAGAAGTCTGGAGGCTCAATGCTGCGTCGGCTGGGGATGTGTCGAGGGATATCAGGCTGTACAAGGTAGTATCGTCGGCGTACGCCTCCAGGTGGGCTCCGGGTGACAGGGTCTCTGAGGCGTCGTTCACGTAAATCAGGAAGAGTGTAGGGCCGAGTATGCTCCCTTGGGGAACTCCTGCTGATATGGTATACAGCGATGAGGTTTGGCCGCCCACCAAGCATTGAATGGACCGTCCACCTAGGTAGGAAGAGAGCCAGGTATGCAGGGGGCCGCCAATGCCAAGATGGCGGACTTTGTGGAGGAGGCCAGCGTGGGACACACGGTCGAATGCTCCGGCAATATCCACGGCTAGAATACGTGCTGCACCGCCTCGGCCGACGGCTGTGATCCAGGCGTGGTGTAGAGCCTGTAGCGCATCTGAGGTCCCGAGGCGGCGACGAAACCCGAACTGGTGGGGTGTTAGGAGTTTGTAACGCTCAAGGTGATTCATGAGCTGACGATTGATAACGCTCTCCATGATCTTAGAGATTATGCTCAGCAGTGAAACTGGACGATAATTCCTTAGGGCGGATCGTGAAGATCGCTTGTGGATTGGAACCACGCTGGCAGTCTTCCACATTTGTGGCTGGACTCCGTGCTGGAAGCAAAGAGCAAAGAGCTGACACAGTGGCTTGGCAAGTTCTCTGGCGCATTCCTTCAAGACACGAGCGGAAATACCGTCGGGTCCAGTCGCCTTTGAGGCATCCAGGCGAGCTAAAAGCCGGTGGACTGCATCCGGGCGAAAGTGAACTGTCGTTAGTGCAGGTGCGTCAGCGAATGCCGTGTCCGGTAAGTCCATCGTGGTAAGGTCGCGGCCTTGCACACTGCACTTGTGGGAAAAGAAACGTGCGAAAGCCTCCGCTTTCTCATAGCTTGTGGCCCTCTCGCAACCTTCACTATCAACGAGCAGGGGAATGTCAGTGTTCCGACCCTCGCCACAAGCACACTTTAGCTTCGTCCACCATTCCTTCTCCTTCAGGGACCCATTCGACAAGCTATGTCTGAGGCTGTTCTCTTTGGAAACTCTAGATCTAGCGAGGACTGCGATAGCATTGTTTACAGAACGGGTAAACTCATGTTTCAGTGCAAAATCGTGAGGGTGCTTCCTCCAAGTGCGCCAGCGTTTGTCCTTCTCCTTCATGGCGGCTGCACACTCAGGTGTCCACCATTTCGGATCCGTTGACTTCACTGTCAGTGTCTTGGACGGAACGAACTGGGAAACGGCTTTCATGA